CTGAGCTGCTGCAGCTGCACGCTGGGGCGCAAGCGGTGGCGCTCGACATGGCTGAGAAGGACATGGCCCAGCGCACCGTCCAGTTCCAGCACTGGGTCGAGAAGCAGGCCGAAGGCGGTGGAGGTGGTCTACATGCGGTGTCCCGCCTGCCCGTCGGGTTCGACTCCAGCCCGCACGGCGACGCCGTGGGCGGCCAGGACGCCGACGACCACCAGCAGCTGTTCGAGCCCATGGACCTGGGGCAGCAGGTCACGGCTCTGGAGGTCGAGTGGAGCCGCTGGTGGAGGACCACCTGTGAGCAAGTGCGGCTGCAGTGGCCAGCCGACCTCGGCGAGAGGCCGCCCAGGCCCACGGTCCCCGAGCTCCGCAAGGTGCTGCGCTCGTTCAAGGGCAGCACGGGCATGTCCTTCTGCTCCGTTCGGCCGCGGCAGCTAGACGAGCTGTGCGACGAAGCGCTGGAGGTGCTGATCGACATCCTGTTGGCCGTCGAGCGCGAAGCAGCCTGGCCGCTCATGACAACCAAGATCGGCTTCATCCAGAAGCGGCTCGGCGGCGTCAGGCCCATCGCCGTCATCATGGTGCTGGCGAGGGTGCAGGCGCGGCTGCGCCGAGGCGTCGCGCGCAAGTGGGAGCAAGACAACGACCGCCCCTACTGGTGGGCAGCTGCTGGCCGCAGCTGCGAGCGTGCGGTGTGGCACCAGGCCGCGATCGGCGAGTGGGCCACGCAGCGCGGTGCCGACTGCGGGGACGCCGAGTCGTGGGTGGCCGTGGCGGTGCTGCTCGACCTGCTCAAGGCGTTCGAGCAGGTGCGCCACCACTGGCTGCTGGACGCCGCCGTCGCCACGGGGTTTCCCCTCTGGCAGCTCAAGCTGACGCTGGAGCTCTACTGCGCGCCTCGGGTCCTCTGCATGGGCAACGCGGCCTCGAGCGTGATCGAGGCCAGGCAGTCGATCCTCCCAGGTGATGGCTTTGCGACGGCGCTGCTGAAGCTTATTCTGATCGGGCCGCTGGATCGCCTGGTATTACATCACCCGACAGTTTCTCTGGCCGTCGTCGTAGACGACCTCATGCTGCACCGAGTTGGCGGGCTCGTGCGTGTGACTAAGGAGGTGGCAGAAGCAGCGTTCGAGCTCAAGATGCTGCTGCTGGACGTTGACCTCAACGTGGCGGTCAAGAAGTCGAGGGCGCTCTCCAACCTCCCAGCAGGCCGGCACGCCCTGGCCGCTCGGCTACGCCGTCCCCTCGGCGTGCTCTCCGTCAAGGGCGAGCGCAACCTGGGCATCGACTTCGCCTGCGGCAGGCGCATCGTGCGCAAGGTGCGGCAGGAGAAGCTGGTTCAAGCAGGGCTACGCCAGCGTCGCGTGGCCATCCTGAAGACTGGGGCTGGGCGCAAGAAGGCCGTGCGCAAGGTGGCCCGTGCTGGGATCGAGCCCAGCGTGACCTACGGCGTCGCGGTCACGGGCTGCGCCACCATGGAGCTGGACACGCTGCGCACGGCGACCTTCAAGGCAGTGGCCCCCAGCGTTGACGGTCGCTCGCGCACGCTGACGCTTATGCTGACGCCCATGCTGGACCCGATGATCAGGGCCACGCTGCTCCCAGTGCTGATGATGCTGCGCGCGGCGTGGGAGTGCTGGATCCCGCAGCATATCATCGCCTACGGCCTCACTTGCTGCCAGGCGGCGAGCTGGTGCCAGGTCAAGGGCCCCTTCAGCGCGGTGAGGCTCTCGCTCGAGAGAGTTGGCTGGCAGGTGCTGAGCCCTACTTTGTGGCGCACGCATGAGGGCTACGACATTCATGTCTTCGAGCTGGGGCCGTGGTCGGTCAAGCGCATTCTCCTGCGAGCAGTTCAAGCATGGCAATGGCGTGAGGTTAGCAAAGGGCCTGGCCTGGAGCACCTCGCGAGCGGGGGGGTCATCGCGCCCTTGATCACGATGACCTCCTCGGGTGCCGTCAGCCGCAAGGGCGTCTTCGGTCGGCAGCTGGCTGTCATGGAGGCCAAGGATCAAGATCCTGTGAGGAGGGCGGCTGTGCACGCGCGCATGGTGCTGGAGAAGCGGCTGAGGGCCTACACCACCTTCTGGATCCAGGACATCGCCACGCTTGACGAGGATGGTAACAAGGCCCACTGGCTAAGGCTCTGCGTCTCCTACGTGGCCGACCTGCTGGCGCACGGCACGTGGCTGCCGCTAGTCACCGAGACGGCGCGCTCCCTCGACATCGACAACCTCGGCGTGGCCAGGCTGAAGATGGCCCAGGACCTCTGCGAGTCGGCTTGGTCGGCCAGGAAGCGCATCAGAGCCCGCTACCACGCCAACATGATGCGGCTGGCAGTGCAGGACCCTGACGAGTGGGACGTGCAGGCGGCGCGGCACGCGCAGTCCATGATCAGCGCGGAGGAGCAGTTCGACGAGACGCCTGCCAGGCGCGCCGCGGTGGCCTCAGCTGGTGTCGCCGACGCTGCCTCAGTCCCTCCGTTGGCGATGGCGATCTGCCCAGAGTTGGCGTCAGGACCCGCTGTCCAGCGGTCGACGTTGCCAAGCTTTGCCGAGCTCGGCGTCCGAACCCCCTGGCCAGCGGTCGCGTCGCCACATGCTGAGCTCGAAAGGTCAGGACCCGCTGGCCAGGGGTCTACGTCGCCTGTTTCTGCTGTGCTCGAAAGGTCAGGACCCGCTGGACAGCGGCCAGCGTCGCCACGCCATGGACGAGCAACAGTGCAGACGAACCATGGACCGAATCCCATGGAAGGCAAGCAGTCATCCATCAAGCTCACGCTGAAAGAGCGAGGGTATCTAGCATCCGTTGTCACCGACGGCCAGTGGTGCCAGAGCCGCAAGTACGAGAAGGGCATGGCCTCGGACGACTCGTGCTTGCTGTGCGGCGAGGTCGGCACCCTGCTCCACAGGCACTGTGGCAGCTGCGCGGGTTGGCCGCCAGAGCTGAGGCTGCCCGACAAGATGCGCGAGCTGGCGGCGAGGTCGGACTTGCCCGAAGTGCGCTGCCTGCTGGAGCGCGTGCTGTGGGCGGCGCCGACTAGCATCGTCAAGCCAGCCCCGTCGCCGCACGTCTGCTGGCTGGGCGAGAGCGACGGCTTCTTCCCCTCTGGCGAGCTCTACCTGGACGGCTCGCAGTACGAGGGCGACTTCGAGCAGTACGCGAGCGTCGCCTGGGCCGTCATCGCGCTCGAGGCCGACGCCGACGCCTTCCTGTGCGGGGCGTCGGGGATGCTGCGTGAGCCCCACGTCGACATCAACGGCGGTGAGCTCATGGCGCTCCTGATGGTCCTCAGGTTCGCGGTGCCGCCCGTCACCGTCGTCGTGGACAGCGGCTTCGTGCACCGCGGCCTGCTGGAGCTGGGCCCGAGGCGCACCACCGCGCACGGCGCGGCGTGGGCCCACCTCTGGAGGGAGGTCTGGGCCAAGCTGGAGGACTTCGGCGGCCTGGGCGACGGCGGGCTGAAGGTCAGGAAGGTCCCCGCCCACCAGACGCAGAGGGAGATGGTCGCCCACGGGAAGATCTCGTACCGCGACTGGCTGGGCAACGGCATGGCGGACAAGGCCGCCAAGTCGGCGGCGGCGGCAGGACGGATCCGCCAGCAGGATCGCAGGAGGCTCGTCATGGCCGACAAGCTGGTCGAGGGCGTCGCGCTCTGGGTCTCGGCGGTGGGCGGCGCGCTGGACGGCAGGGACACCACCCACCGCGTGGCCAAGCCGCAGCGCCCCGCGCCGAAGGCGCTGCTGGCGCAGCCGGCCGCCAGGCTCTCCTGTGCCTGGCGCGGGGAGCCTGGCAAGCGGTGGTGCAGCCGCTGCCGCTGGGTGGAGCGCTCAGGCGAGTGCCCAGGCACCATCGTGCCAGCGGCGCTCCAGCACAACGCCGAGCTGGCCGCCAGGGGGCTCAGCACGCACGTGCTCGTGCGCATCGAGCCCGAGCGTGACGTCGAGCTGCGCCGCGACATGCCGCTGGTCGCGTGCGCCGCCTGCGGAGCCTTGGGGGCGGCCAGGGCCTCCAGCTTCGCGCCGCCGTGCGGCCGCGCGTCGGCCAAGGGGCTGCTGGCCGTGGCGCGCCTGGAGAGGCGGCTCGCCCCTGCGATCTCGGGCAAGGTCGCGGTGGCCATCAACCCGCTCAGGAGTGAAGGGTGACGGCCAGCTTCCCCTCCTCCTGGCGCGGCGGGCCGACGGCCTGTGTGGCCCGTGAGGCCGTCGCGCTGGCGGCACGCCGAGCCCGAGGGGCCGTGGCGTGCGGGCGCTCGCTGAGAGCGCGAGCCCGTCGCGCGTGGGGCGCGCGGCGAGCGCGGGCGGCGGGTCACACGCGCCGCCTGAGGCTCGTGCATCCTCCTCCTCCTCCTCCTCCTCCTCCTCTCTCCTCCTCCTCCCCCCTCCTCCTACTACTACTACACTACTACTACTACTACTACTACTACTACTACTACTACTACTACTACTACTACTACTACTACCTACTACTACTATACTACTACTACTACTACTACTACTACTACTACTACTACTACTACTACTACTACTACTACTACTACTACTACTATACTACTACTACTACTACACTACTACTACTACTACTACTACTACTACTACTACTACTACTACTATACTACTACTACTACTACTACTACTACTACTACTACTACTACTACTACTACTACTACTACTACTACTACTACTACTACTACTACTACTACTACTACTACTACTACTACTACTACTACTACTACTACTACTACTACTACTACTACTACTACTACTACTACTACTACTACTACGACTACTACGACTACTACTACTACTACTACTACTACTACTACTACTACTACTACTACTACTACTACTACTACTACTACTACTACTACTACTACTACTACTACTACTACTACTACTACTACTACTACTACTACTACTACTACTACTACTACTACTACTACAGGAACCTCCGGGCACCTCAGGAACCGACGGTGACTGGCAAGCGAGCTTCCCTCCCAGGCCTGCCTGCGTGGCGCGGTCCACGAGCGCCTCCTGGCAAACGGGCGCGCGTGAGCGCGCGGGTGCGAGGGCGTGTGCTTGGGTGTTTTTGTTGCGCGTGTCCGGGTGTTTTGGGTGTTTTGGGGTGTTTTGGGGGGGTTGTTGTGTGTTCTCGGCTTGGTTTGCGCGTTTGGGGGTGTTTTTTGTGTGCTTGTTTTGCGTGTTTGGGTGTGAGATGTGTGCGTGGATGTGAATAGAATGCGGATGTGGATGCGGATGTGGACGCGTATGCGAACGCGACCGTGAGTGCGCATGCCCAAGCGGATGCGAACGTGAAGGCGAATGCGAGCGTGGATGCGAATGCGAAGGTGAGGGTGATTGCGCATGTGCGTGTCACTGTGGAACTGGATGCGAACAGGGAGGTGAAAGTTAATGTTTTGCAAATGAGAATGTGAATATGAATGCAAATTCAAACGCGAACGCGAACGTGGGCGTGAGCGTAGCTGTGAATGTGATTGTGGATGAGAATGAATGCGAATGCGAGTGCGACTCGAATTGAGAATGCGAATGCGAATGCGAACGTGACAATGACTGTCGCTGTGGAAGTGGCATTGGATGCGGAGTGGGAGCTCGCGCGCAGCTTGGATCGTAAGGTCTTAGTGGGAGGTGCCTGGGAGAGAGGGGGATTGTCCGCGGCTCATCTGCGGCTCAAGTGTTTCACTCGGGCCTTCGTGTTCGAGGCCCTGCGCGCTCGGGCGGCGGGGGCCGCGCAGGGCGATGGCAGGGCCGCCTGCGGCGGCGGCCTGGCGCCGGGCGACGGCCCGGCCCGCGGCAGGGCGGCGCCGGGCGGCCGCTGGCCGGGGCCTCGGAGGCAGACGCTGGAGGGGTTCCCGGCCGCGCGCCCCGGGCCTGCAGCCCTGGGCGGCGGAGCAGGGGGCCCAGATCAGGGAGGAGACGGCGGAGCAGGGTCACTGCCCAAAGGAACGGCGGAGACGGCTCTTGGACGATGGCCCTGCTGCCCGTCCTCGTCGGGGCCGTCGCGGCGGCGGAGGTCGGGCGGCGGTGGGGGACACCCGTCACGCCTGCTGCACCGCCAGCCCTGCGCGCTGCAGTCGAGCCCGCACGCACCGCGGGCAGATGAGGCTGGAGGGGCAGCGTGCCCTCCTCTGTCACGGGCGCTGAAGGAGGACCAGCGGCGCCGCGGCGCGGCGGCGGCGACGGAGAAGCCGCAGCGCCATCCACCCCCACAGGCCGAGTCGCCAGGGCCGTCCGGGAGGGAGGGAGGGAGGGGAGGGAGGGAGGGAGGGGGAGGAGGGAGGGGGAGGGAGGGAGGGAGGGAGGGAGGGAGGGAGAGGAGGAGGAGGAGGAGGAGGAGGAGGAGGAGGAGGAGGGAGGAGGAGGAGGAGGGGGAGGAGGGGAGGAGGGAGGGAGGAGGGAGGGAGGGAGGGAGGGAGGGAGGAGGGGAGGGGGAGGGAGGAGGGAGGAGGGAGGGAGGGAGGGAGGAGGGAGGAGGGAGGGGAGGAGGAGGAGGAGGAGGAGGAGGAGGAGGAGGAGGAGGAGGAGGAGGAGGAGGAGGAGGAGGAGGAGGAGGAGGAGGGAGGGAGGGAGGGAGGGAGGAAGGGAGGGAGGGGGCGGACAGCCGCCCACGCGCAGCCACCACAGCCGCGGGTGGTGAGGGGCGGCGGCCGCCCCTCACCACCGCCACCCCCCGCAAGGGGGGCAGGCAGGTTCCAGGGCCCAGCGAGGCAGAGTACAAGGCCGCACCACCTGCGGAGGAGGCGGGCGCCACCTCTTAGGCCGTCTTGGAGCCCTCTCGGGGCCGTCTTGGAGCTCCCTTGGGAGACTCTTGGGCCGTATTGGGGCGTCCTTAGCGGCGTCTCGGGCCGCGCGGCGTCTCGGGCCGCCTGGGAGCGTTGGGAAGCCGAAAAGGCAAGAAAACCCGAATCCCTCAAAAACCCTCGATTGATCCATTAATTTTGCCTCTTGGGAGGCCTCTTGGAGGCCTCTTGGGGCGTCTCGGGGGCCTCTTGACAATGCGGCGCCAATTCTGGCCAATATGGTGCCTCTGTTTGATGTGTTGTAACTGTTATTGCGTGCTCTCGCTTCTCAAAAAGAAGGCGACGCTCTTGCGATCAGTTTGGGGCGTTTCGAAAGAGAAAACGCCTCAAAGTCATTTGGACTCGTGCCGTCCGACGCTGCAACGCCCTTAAAGGCAAAGACGTTTCTGAACACCTTCCGAGAGTTCTGGCGATGGGCCACGTGAATGGCGTCCGAAAGAATCCTTGAGGTCTGGCGTGTAATCTTTCCGCAGACGCTCCCTTCCAATTATGGTTGCGGTGGCTCTTAGATCGCCCATGGGCACGCAGGTTCAACAGAAAACTGAACCCAAAAACCTTGCATCTCTTGGGGGGGCCTTCCGCCACCTTCCGCAGGCCTTGCGTTGGCTTCCGCCGGGAGGCGGCCTTGTTTTGCTTCAACCGCCTTCCGCTGGCTTTCGCCGCCTGCCGCCAAGGAAGGGATATCAACTCTTGACTGCCTCATGTAACAAGTTAGTTCGATACAGTTTGGAGATGGAAAGGCGCACACGACATCCCATTCAAGTCTGGGCCAGCGTAATTCCTCGAAGAACTCCCAGGAGACCAGAGTGAATATACCCGACAAGGCGACCAGTCGAGACGACGGGCAGCAGCGGCGACGAACCGGTGGGAAGCTCCTCAGAGGCCGACTTGAGGCAACGCTAGCCAGGGACCGGCTCAGGGTGGGGGAAACATTGAGATTGCATCGGCGATGCATCGCCGACAGATCGGCGGTAGACCCCCGATGGAGCAACCGCACGTTCCTGAGCGGGGTGGGCTGTCCCTTATCGGCTGTCAATGGGCGACTGGGGGTCGATGCGCTCGGCTACACGCAGGAGCGACCCTGGGTAAGAGTGTCCTTTGGTGCGCGGCTGTTGGGGGGCCGCGGAGGGCCCAAACACAAGCACGCAAGACGCTACTGCCCCATCGCTCTCGGCGATCGGGGGGCCCCAGTTGGACCCGCACCAAAGGTCACTCCGGCGAAAGGTCACTCTTACGTGTAGTCGATGCGTCCCCACCTGAGCCGATCCCGCCCTTGACATTGCCCCTGGGTGACAGAGGCGACAAGCCGAGAGAGAGGCTCCTCACAGGCGGACTCGCCCGGCCCAGTGCCCGAGCATCTCGGACGAGATTCTAGAGATGCCTGCCAGCGGGCATGACGGCCCACAAGACGCTCGACCTTTGCGTCCCCCAAGATCTTCCATGGCTCCCGCTACTGGGCCTTTTGCTCAATTTCCGCGCGCCCGCGCACACGGCCAGGATCCTGAGAGTCGCCTGTCCTCAGCGTTGGTTGCCTCTGGCGTGCTTCTGACACATAAACCTAAACTTTCGCAGTTCCTCGCGGATTTCCTGGACCTGTGCTGAACCCCCGCGCTGGGGGCTGCGACGGAAGCGCCGCCAGGGGGTCCCAGCGCAGATCGAAGAAATCCGCGAGGAGTTCCGAATGTTTATGTGCATGCAGCTTTTTCTTCTTCAAATACAATGAAACAGTACATGGCTCGCCCCGAAACCCTGCGCCGAAAACAGTTGACATTCTGCTGGGGCATAAAACTATGTGTTTGCCAATTTCCGCGGGCCCCCCGCCGACGGACTTGCTGAACCCGCGCACGTCGCGACACCGACTCCGACAACATGAAGAGTTCGCGCTTCCGATCTCACCCCCGCTAGAATCGCGAATCCTAACAACTGAGGAAACAGGAAGCGAAAAACGCTACGACTAGCGACCACCACGCTGGGCTGTGCAAGCAAAACGTCCTTTTGTATGATGCGCGATAGCGCTCGTGATTGGCCCCCTTCCCCCCCCCCCTTTTTCCACGCCTGGTCACGCCACGTTTCGAGCAGGCGCCGTGCGGGAATTAGCCGATCTTGAGAATGCCCAGACGGCGCGGGCGCGAATCATAACGTGACCAGCCCCCCTCCCTCCCCCCTGTCACCCCCGCCATCGCTAGGGGGCTCAAAAAAAAACTGACCCTAAGCAAGAGCCGGCGGTTCAAATATGAGGCCCTGAGTGACAAGCAAGGGCACAGGGCTTGACCATGAGGTAATACGCTGAGAAACCTACTCCTAGGATAACGTCGGCGACATATCGAGGCATACCACAACTCATCCATTGATGACAAGCAAGACGGGAGGTAAGAGAGAAACCGTGGGATGGAAGGATGGATCATAAATGGGCGCGGCTTTTGTCCGACGGCATGATCCGCAAATAGAGGCGCACATAGTCGCACACGCAGCAAATAGGACAGCGCTGCCTCAAGCCAAGACAGCGTCGGAGATTGCGTTCGCTGCACACACTCTCCCTAGACCTCGCTTACAGTCGGGAGGGGAGGGGCAGAACGCTAGATCCAAGTCCTGATAAATTAAGTCAGCCAAAGAAAGAGGATAGGGCCATTGTCTTCAACATCCCTAACAGCACTCAGTATCAAAGCACAGAAGGCAGCACAGAGAATTAGCTCCGGCCTCGGCGCATGTCCACAACCAGCCGCAGACGGCCACGGGCTGTCACGGGCAAGTCCACGCGACTACCAACAGAACATTAAGGGGGCCGCCCAGCCAGCGGGCCCGACGCCAAAGCGCGCAGCGCGCGAGGGGATATTAGCAAGAGGTCAGACCCCCCCCCCCCCAAAAAAAAGAGAGAAATGCCCGTGTCGGGGCACTCATGGTAGATGCGGCGCTGTGAGCATACATGCCTGTGGCCAAACGAAGATAACCACTTGTGAATATACATGCCCGCGCGCGGGCAAAAATAACTGCTCGTCTGCGTTTGAGTAGTCGTCCACATTGATATCCGCTGACCCTGACTAGGGCACCCCTGTGTCCTATGTTGGCGCTGTGCCTTTCTTGCATCGGCGGGGCCTGTAACTCCTTACTTCGCACTTGAAGGGCTCGTTGCCTTCCATTACGCGCAGCAGTAACGCACAATCGATACGCCCCTCGGCATGGCCGCCAGCGCTCGCGCCCCGCGCATCACACCACTGT